ACACATATATATATATATATATACACATATATATATATATATATATATATATATGTATATACATACACATATATGTATGTATACATATATATACATTATATATGTATGTATACATATATACAGATATATATATATCTACACTATAAAAAACAAGCGATTATTACGTGCGGAAAACACCGATCACAGCAGCATATCGCGGCTGTAGCAGCTGTACAGACACATCCATACAGCCGCCATGTGGCCCCACCTAATAATCAGACCTAAAAAACACCCCAAAAACTCACACTCCTCTCCGACGTCGTTTTTCTCCCCGCCCCACCGCCCACCTCACAGCTCGCCTAGGATTTCCCGCCACTACTGTCGCTCGGCCGATCAACTCCAATGGGTCTCAGCGCTCGTGAGAAGCCCCTCCGTCCTACTGCAGTTGGCCGGAAGCGCCACGTTTCCCGGCTGGCGTCGGCCCCGATGCTCCCTTCGGACTCCACAGCACCCAAACCTCCTCCCGCCGCATTCTCTACCCCCTTCCCCTCCTCTGATCCTGCCCTCTCAGCCGCTTACGTCTACCCAAGCCTAAAGCTTAATCTCGGTCCCTGCTCTGACCCTAGCCCTAACCTTAACTTTAACGAATTTGATGAATCTGAATGGGGCTACTGTACTGAGGAGCAGCTTGAGGAGATCGTTATCAGTAACCTCGATTGCTTGTACAAGGAGGCTATCTCCCGTTTGGTCACCCTTGGCTATGCCGATGCCCTAGCGCTTCGGGCTGTTCTTTGCAACGGCCATTGCTACGGCTCAATGGACGCCGTCTCCAATATAATGCAGAATGCACTTGCTTACCTCAACACGGAAGCAGCCACCACCGCCGGCGAGAGGGATCCGCCTGCCGGCGCCTTCTCTGACCTCCGCCATCTTGAGGAGTATTCTCTTGCTGGAATGGTTTGCCTTCTTCAGCAGATACGCGCCGACCTCTCACGCGGTGAGGCCATGTGGTGCCTCCTCATGAGCGGCCTACATGTTAGCCGTGCAAGCTCCATTGAGCTCCCTTCCCTCTCGGTTCCTGGTAATCCTGAATCGGTGGGCACCGTCTTAACGTCTGGCACTGCTTTCCCGTTTGTGGTGGGTCGTAAAGATTCTGTTGACACCCAATCACCATCTGTCAATGGTGTTGCTGCCCATCCATCTGAAAACGTGAAGCGTTTTCATCAAAACTCACCAACACCATTTCTGAAATCTGTTCTAAAACCACACAATACTGAGTATTGTCCTGAGCTAAATATTCAGGGCAGGCAAAGTCCGCAACATTTGGAGGAAGAGACAGAGGACCTGGTGCAGTTAGTACTTAAAAGCTTGGAGGTTATGAGAATTGAGGATGACAAGTTTCAAGATAAGGAGATGCAGGACCAGAAGAAGGAGATGATCATGGACCTTATTTGCCAGATCCGGGAGCTGGAAGGCCAGGTCAATGAGAGGAAGGAATGGGCTCAACAGAAGGCCATGCAGGCCGCTCGGAAGCTGAGCAGCGACCTCCATGAGCTTAGGGTGCTGAGAATGGAACGGGAGGAGAACCAGAGGAGTGTGAAGGGGAAGCAGGTGCTGGAGGAATCAACAATGAAGAGACTTGCAGAAATGGAGAGCTCTCTAAAGAAGGCTAGTGGGCAGGTTGATCGTGCCAATGCAGTCGTCAAGAAGCTGGAGACCGAGAATGCTGAGATAAGGGCTGAAATGGAGGCATCAAAGCTAAGTGCATCCGAGTCGGTTACCGCGTGTATGGAGGTTTCCAAGAGGGAGAAGAAGTGCCTGAAGAAGCTAGTGGCATGGGAAAAGCAGAAAGGAAAGTTGCAAGAGGAGATTGCTGAAAAGAGGAAGAAGATTCTGTTGGTGCAGCAGCAGTTGGCTGAAATGCAGGAGGCCACAAAACAAGCTGAGGTGAGTTTAACATTTGTGACTTCATTATTCTACTGAGAACAAAAAAAAGAACAGTTAAGTATGGAAATTTAACTATATATATATTTCAAAAGAATCAATGAAGCTTTGATGTGAATATTTTTTATCAGGTTTTCACCAAAAACAAATAAAGAATCGCGTCTTATTTGTCCAAACGCTTATTCAGGCTGGTTGGTTTTGTAGTTTGGGCACTTGACCTATACAGCTGAATTTTAAGGATGTAGATGGCTTTTCATCATTACTGTTGAAATGCTTATTTCTTTGCATTTCTTTACCATCTAATGAATCAATTAATATTTTTGGTATGACATTATTTGAACTTCCAATAAGGGGATTTGGAGACCTTCCAATAAGAAAGCTTTTGAATAAAAAATGGGAGTGTGTGGAGTAGTTTTACCATTGCTTTTCTTGATTGAATTATTTGACTAGTAATGATTTTAGCTAGATGTTTAGATATATGTTGGAGACGTGGACTACAAACATAGTAATCAGCGGGGGAGTAATTATGGAAGATTTACTAGAACTTATAGACCCCTTTAAAGGTCAATAATTTGTCTAATATTGATTAAATAGTGAATAAGATAATCCTCCAAAGGAAACCCAAGGTAAAACATCTTGATATATTAATTTGAAATGTTAAATAACATGAATTTCGAACCTTATGCAGAATAGACAGGGATTAAGGTGATTTAATTGAATTATGTAATTGGAATCCTTTTGGGCAAACTGTTCTCTCTTATATAATGATAGTAAAAATAAACAAACACTTTGCAATATAATTTTTAGTAAAGAACTAAATAGATTTTTTTATATGATGTTACACTAGCGTACACACCTCTGCTTATCGTCTAGCACATTTCCCATAGTAGATCTTGTGCGGTCCCTCTCATCTACAATCTACATATTACATAATTGCACCCAACTTTTCCCTTTTGCTTTTTCTCTCACCGGCATCTCTTGCACTTGTTAGCCATCTTGTGGTTTCAAAGTCCAACATCTTCCCCAAGTCCTTGCATCCCTCGTTATTTAAGTCTTTCCCCAACTTCATAAGATACTCTCCCTTAGCCGGCTTATCTGCTTTATTTGATTCTCTTCGGCTCTAACACCCCATTCTATGTCCACTTCCTATTTTACTAATGCATCTTGTATTCCTTGTTTCACAAGACACATTTTCAACTCAACCACCTCTCTAGTACACCTTGAACTCTTTTTATTTTGATCCTGGTGGATCACACGACTTCTTTGCTTATCTTCCTTTTTACTCCTTTCTCTCACACACAATGAATTGTCGACACTACAACTCTTACGCTTGTCTCTTTCACTTTCTCGCATGTAAACAAAGCAAAATCAGGCTTTAGCTTATTAATTTTGGCATCCCAACACTCAGAGACATTGGGTCTAGTGACTTTTTTGTGTGTAAATGCATGTATAAATTTTTTGTTTGACACAATGTTCCTTTTGTATCCATTGATCTTTGATCTAAATAAATGGAGCTATTGTTTTATTTTTTTTAATGAGCGAGTATGCATTAGCTTTTAGCACTTTTTGAGTCTAGGTTTTCTTTTCTTCTTTAATGTCTTTTTTTTTTCCAAATTCCCTTCTAATTCTCTTATTTTTTTTTCCTTTCCCCATGATGAATAGGGCTAGTTATAACAACATTTTTTAAGGATTGGACAGATTCATTTCTTACAAAAGTCGAGCTATTTTGGAAAGATCAACAAGAGCTAGTAATATTTTTGTTGATGCTTCCTCTAAACAAACTTTGTTGTTTAGGTAATGCTCTATTTGATTTGAGATTTTGTGGTTTCTTGTAGAAATACTTTGTTGTATCCATATCTAGTCATAATTTTGGATTATCTTTAGGCAACATCTAATTTCGATTTGTCATAGGAACAAAATTTGGATGAAGGGTTCTTGAGGTTTTCTCCTTACCTAAACGACTTGATCTAAATTTATGAGTGAGAAGTTTAAGTTTGGATCAATGAATTTTAGGTTTGCTGGAAAATTTAATATATTAGAGTTTGCATTATTAGAAGTATTTAGTAGTTTGCGTTGCTATTGGAGTAAAAATTCAGAGGCATTTTTTGGTTGCTTGTTTATACTTTGTTGTATCCATATCTAGCAGTTATTGTGCATTATCTTTATGGGCAACATCTTATTCTGATTTGTCATAAGAACAAAATTGGAATTAAGGGTTCTTGAGAGTTTTTCCTAATATAAACGTCTTGATCGAAATTAAAGAGTGCAGAAGTCCAACTGTGGATCAATGAGTTTTAGGTTTGCCGAAAAATTTAATATATTAGAGTTTGCATTATTAGAAGTTTTAGGTAGTTTGCATTGCTATTGGAGTAGAAATTTAGGGGCATTTTGGGTTTACTTTTTTCCTTAATAAAAATACTATGTTGTTTATGATAAAATGAAGTTTGGCTTAATCTTGTAGCTCACATTGTGGTAATCTAAATAACATATCTTTAAGAGTAAGCTAATATACATAGCATTCAATTGTTTGTTGTCTTGATTTCCTCAATCCTAAATCTAAATTGCATTAGTATTTATGATTAAGCTAGTATAAATAGCATTAAATTGTATGCTGTCTAGATTACCTCGATCATAATATTTTAATAACTGGAAGGAAAATAATTCGATCACCATTAATTATTGTAAGTAATTTTTTTTTATTAAAATATGATGATTTTAAATCAAGCCCACAACATCTAAAAAATAAAATTTTTACCTAGATTTCAATATTATCGAAATAACATCAAACAAAATAAACCCTTAGTATAAAATGGAGTTAATATGATGGAGTCCGTAAAACTTTATGAGTTATTTGGAATGATTCATAATTCAATCGACATAGAATATGGTTTAAGTTAACAAAAGAGTATGATACACTTTTGGTAGTCCATGGTGATACTAAAAAATTTAGAATTGAAGAAATCCAAGAGAAGGATTTGAGAGATACAATGTAAACATCTGACTTGGTAGATGAGGATATCTTGATTGCTGCTTTGGTACTTGGAACACTTGTATAACCTTTTTTGTGTTGTCAAAGTCAAGTATTGGTCGATGAAGGAATGATGGAGAGAGTGATATGGTGATTCAACTAGTTTGCATTAGACAATTGGAATTGGATGGAACTCATTTGTCTTACAATACTCTCCCATTTATAATACCGTGAAAAGAAAAGCTTTAACAATAATGCCCAATAAAAGAAAATAAAGTGGGATTAGGATTCTTATAGCTAGGCAAATATTATTGTTATTTTATTGCTTTATTGTATAAGATAAAATTATCGAACTCTTATTAAGTTAGGTATCATTAGTAGGTTCCTTGTGCTCATCAAGTCATAAATAGGGTGTGATGATGAGTTCATGATTTTCAATACACATTTTAAAGAAAACAAAAAATGCCTTTTTAAAAAGCAAAGTATGATTATAACTCTAGTATATTAGCTAAATGCATTAAATGAAGTACCCAAATTGCTTAAGATGATTAAAGGATGCCACCAAAGCCCTTCATAGTTTTGTGCTAGCCAAAATTTATAATGAGATTTGGCAAGTTGTCTACTAGGGCTTGTTTAGGCCTATTTAAAGAATAGTATTTCTCAAATAGAAACTAGCTTAGAAGTTTATTCTATTTCAAAGTCGATTTCAAATTAACTTTAATCTTTTAGTTGAGTTCAAGTGATGGTGTTGGGCTCTACATATGTGATTATTGATATGACAATGATGTTTATAAGAACATCCTTTTTTGATTTGTTTATATTTATGACATATTTTATTTCTAATACAAAAAGATAAATGTGCGAACATAAAAAGAAATATTTAACTATAAGATGTCATTCCATGTGTTATAGAATGTTTACAATCTAAATGTGAGTGCATTAGCGAGGTTAACATTATTTGAATGTACTTCTAAAAAATACTTAAAATTATCTTATAAAAAATGGTTTAAATCTTATAAAAAATGGTTTAAGTGATTGATATGAAATGAATAAATGGTTTACACTATTGTTAATGTAATTCTAATAATACTTAAAAAATATTTTATAAAAAAGGGTTTAAGTGATTGATATGAAATGAATAAATGGTTTACACTATTGTTATACTTGATATGATTCCAACAAACAAGATTATTAGTTTCCATCTACAAAGGTGTACAAGGGTGTTGGTGGTTTGCAAGTAACCCAACTGTCGACCTTTATAACTGCTTTGTATGAAAACTAATCACAGATGATGAAGGACGAACGTGGTATTACAAAACATTAGTTTGAAATGAACTTAACAAATTAAAATTCACTGAAATTTTGTTTGTTTTACAATAGGGGTTACGCTGATGCATTTGAGTAATTGAATTTATTAATATAATAATTGCATGGTCTATTTGATTGAACACAATGAAAATGTGAAAATATCTTGATTGCAATCAAAATCATCTAATCATTCCTTGTTTTATGAAAAAATGTGCCAACATGTTTGAAACAATGAAATTACACAAATAATACTTATATTCTCTGAATCGTCACATGAGAAGACTTCAAAATACCTACCCACACATGAGGCAATGACACAAAATTGTAGGCTCTTTAGAAATAAGAAATTGCATGAAGTGTCAATATTGATTTTACATTTATTTATTTTTAAAATTAATTTAAAAAGAAAGGTAAATTTCCTTTCAAACTCTATGATTTGCTCATGGCGGTGTCAAAAGTTGACTTGACGTGTGAACCCGACTCGAACCCGACCAAAATAATTTATGTTAGGGTTTGATTTGATTTAAGTTTGAGACAAATTTTGGTCTAAAATTCTAACTCATTTGATTTTTGACCCTAATATTTGTTATGTCTTATGTTAAACGGGTTATACATGTTGGGTTCGGGTCAGCCGTATTGAAGGCAGTTTGTGTCCAGGTTAGACTTTCTAACCCGTTTATTTTTTGAGTGAGTCGAGGTCAAATAGTTTCAGATCCGGTCGATTCTG